GAGGCTGTAGGAGTGCTTACCCTCTCTGCACTGCACCAAACATTTTACCCACCCAATCTAATTATTTCCCCAAAAGAAATGTGTCCCTGGAGATATTGTTAGCCATACTTAACCAATGGGGACACTGAGGCTCAGACAGGAAAGTGAGCTCAGGGTTACACCCTGGTAAGCTGTGAAAGCAAGATTTAAGCCCAGGTGTGCCTGAGGTGGGAGCCCACGCTCTTAATCACTGCCCTGTGTGCTCCAGCGTGTTTATCTTGCACACGCTGGGATTTTATTGCAGATTTCTTTGGGGGATAAACGTGATAAATTACAATACTTGAGATCTGCTGAAACATTTGTTACACTGTTTTAACTGAAGCTCTCAGGAAGCGTTTTCCATCTTGTTTTGGAACAGACTCCCAGACTCTGAGTTTAAAACGGTTGTGTTCTTTCTGAACGACACTCCATCATGGGCTAGGCATTCAAGGTTTCCTGTAGCCAGATCTGAAAGATAAAGTTCTAATGAATTCTCTTAAGAGAGCGTTGAAAATTTGTCCTTTCGAGCTCTGCATATGTCACAGAATTCAGCACACTTAATTGGAATTAGAAAGCTGGAGAGAGGACAAAGTAGATGGCATTTACAATGGCTGGGTTATATATCTACCGTTTTACTGAGGGGGAATTCAAAAGCTATCATGGCAGATCATCTTTCTTTTTGGTCTTTCTCATTCTTACAGCTACATTTCTTAGAGACAATCTTTTAAAAAGCACTGTACATTTTGTTTCATTCTGCCCCGAGTCCTAGTTGCAAGTATCACATGGTGTCTCTCCCTGTGATAATCCATAGGTCTTCCTCTCAGTTTATCTTTCTCTTTCCAGATTTCTGAACACTAAGTGCTTCACATTGCAGTTTTTGCTTATTTGTGTTTTCTTTCATTCTATCCTTGTAATCTTCGTATACCTTGACATTTCTTTCCTATTATTCATTGGACCTTTGGTTTCTGTTACGTTTTACATCCTTTTGTTGTTTTTTCCCTCATACGTAAAACTACACCAGACCAGGTGCAGTGGCTCACACCTGTAATCCCAGCACTTTGAGAGGCTAAGGTGGGATCACAAGGTCAGGGGATAGAGACCATCCAGGCTAACACGGCGAAACCCTGTCTCTACTAAATGTGAAAAAAAAAATTAGCCGGGCATGGTGGCAGGCGCCTGTAGTCCCAGCTACTTGGGAGACTGAGGCAGGAGAATCGCTTGAACCCTGGAGGTGGAGGCTGCAATGAGCCGAGACTTCGCCACTGCACTCCAGCCTGACTCAGTCTCAGAAAACAAACAAAAAAACCTCCAAAAACTATACCTTCTGCCTGATCACTTGTGGCTCCCTTTTCAGGGAGAATTTTGTGTTATAAACAGTCCACAGTTATTTGAAGATGCCTGGGCTCAGAGTCCCAGGAGGGCAGGGACCCTGATATGCTCAGGATTGAGTGCTGAGTGTCTGACCTCAACTCCTATCTGGAACAGAGTTTACATATGAAACAGTGTCGTTTTCATGGTAACTCATCATAACAAAGGGCTTTAGGAAATTTGAAAAGAGGGATTCTAAAAGTGTTTTTGAAAAATTGGAGTATTATTGGAAGAAATGTTTAGTCTTCAGCCAAACTATTTTAAAGGATGTCATTTGCTTCAGATGTAAAAGTTTGGGCTAAGTAGTTTTTGAGCAGCAAATCGAAACAACCTGTTTAGAAACATTTATCTGACTTATGTAATTTGGGTATGAGAAAGGCTTTCTTTTAAATGTTATTTTTAAGTCTAAAATGCATTGAATTATAGCAAAGTACAGAAAATAATGTATCTGGTGTTCACGTATCTACCATACTGGATTTAACAGATATTAACATATTTCCTTCAAATTGGTATTTCTTTTTAAAAGAAATAAAATGTTTTGTGTAGCTATAGTTCCATCTAATTCTTTTATTTTCAGAGGATGCTAGTATTTTGAAGCTGAAAAAAATAACCTTTTTTATATTTTATACTTTACTTTTTGTACATCATATATAGGGGATATTGTACTATTTCATCTGAAAATTTTATACAAATAGCATCATATTCTTTTTTACAACTTAATTTTTCACTCAGTATTCTGAACATTTAGCCATGTTGATGTATGCAAATATAGTTCATTTTGTGTATGTATTTCATTTCGTGAATAAACCAGTTTATTTATCCACTTAATTTTCAGTTTTTCAATACTACAAATATCGTTGTAATAAAAATCTTATATATTTTATGGATTTACTTATTCATTTATTTATTAATGTTCACATGCAAGTTTTCTAAGATATCTTTGCCTGGTCCTAAAATATGAATATGTTTAAGTTTATAAAATTCCTCCTGTTTTATTCATATTTTTCCTTTCTCTACTTTTTATGTTATTTTTCATTTAATATACTCTAGGAATTATGTTAACATTTTTAATTGGTTAGCTTGAATTAACAAATTTAAATGTAGTCAATATATCGTCCACCTTTCCGAACGGTAAAAACACTTTAGAAAACTTTCGTTCGAAATACTTTTCTCTGTCTTAAAATGTCATTACTTGATATTTTAGTTCTATTACTCTTTTCAGCTTTCAAAAGTAATCATCCTTATTATTGTTTTAGTCACTGGATTTTTAAAAATATTTATTCATATGCATACCAATTTTCTTAGCTGGATAATTTTTGTGGAATACTAATCTTTTATTCTGCATTTCTTTACTTCTGTTGAAGAACATTAGGCAGTACAAGCTCTCATTTTTTGACTGAAAAAAATTTTAGCCCCACACTTTAATAATAAATAATTGATTTATTTACTAAATATAAAATCTAGTTTCTCTCAAAGCTTTGAATATGTGATTCTGTTATTCTTCTGTTATTCTTAAATTTATGTTGTATCTAACCTGCTGTTTAACTTACCTACTGAATTGCCAATTCTTTACATTTTTCTGGTGGGAGTTTAAGTTGATGTGACTTCCCTGCCAGGCAATGTTGTAATATATAGTGAAAAATTTAACAGTTTTCAACTCTTTACATTATATAAATAATCTTTTTAGAAATTATTCTAGCTGGGCATGGTGGCTCACATCTGTAATCCCAGTACTTTGGGAGGCCAAGGCAGGCGGATCACAAGGCCAGGAGTTCGAGACCAACCTGGCTTATATGATGAAATCCCGTTTCTACTAAAAATACAAAAATTAGCTGAGCGTTGTGACAGGAGCCTATAGTCCCAGCAACTCGGGAAGCTGAGGCAGGAGAATCCCTTGAACCTGGGAAATAGAGGTCGCAGTGAGCTGAGATGGCGCCACTGCACTCCAGCCTGGCGACAGAATGGAACTCTGTCACAAAGAAAAAAAAAAAGAAATTATTCTAAAAAACTTATTGTACAATTTACTCATATGTTATTACAATACCAGTATTTATTTCAGTGTTTCTTGCCACACAAAATGGAAATGACTATAAGTAAGGGAATGGTTAATAAGTTATTAATTATCCATAAGATAAATGCCATTCCAACAATAATGTTACAAAGTATGTGGGAAGTATTGATTATATTTTAAATAAGAGAAAGCATGTTATTAAGAAATATGCATAACATAAACAAATATTTTTTTGTGAAATAAAGACAATATATTACCAAAGCAAAAATACTACTAGAATTCAAATCAACATGCTAACTCTGTTCATTTCTGGTAGGTAGGATTAAGAATGATTTTTATATTATCTTTCTTTTTACATAATTATTCCATTTTCTACAATACCTAAGATTTTTTATTATAGAAAAACAAATCTATTTTTATAATATTCATCTTTTGACAAGGCACAAAATAAGTTTTAAGCAAACATAAAATCAAAGGTTAAAAATTTAAGAAGCTAATGTAGTAATTAAAACACTATGTAGTAATTTTAGTGATGCAAGTTATTCAATTTGAAATAACGAAAATAAGACTTATTGTAAGGCAGACTTAGTAGCTGATTGCATATTGTAGAAGGACAAACCAAGAGATTCCAAAGTTTTGTGACTGAGAGAACAATGATACTAGAAACTGAGAACTATAGAATTGTATTTCTGAACATATAAAACTAAGAACCAGACCCAGAGGTTACCTCACCCCTTAAGGGGCTGCCCTGCTATGAAAATCTGCTTCCTTTCTGATATCACTCTTTGGTAGTTAAAAAGGAAAGAAAAAAACTGTTTATTCATTAATTCAGCAAAAGTGTATTGAGTAACAACAATGTAATACATACTATTTGGAATTCTAGGAATTATAGTCATGAACAAACACTCTTAAGGTGACTAATAAAATGATCATCTGTCCATAGGATGTTTGACTCTTCAATGTCCAATCTCCTTCCTTCAGTTTCTTCAAAGTACTTTCAAAACCAACTTCTTAGGGAAGCCTTTCCCTATCACCAATAACTCCACATTAGATTCCATTTCTAATGCCAGGTAAAATCAATTGGTTGCTGCTGCCAGAAACTCTGTGTGATGATGGTATTAGGCTCAATGAGAAATGATGCTATGCGTGATTAGTGATGCCTGGCAAGCCTCTGGAGAGAGAAGTATCAGGAAATATGCTAACTATGGTGCATGTTGTCTCATTGCCTTCAGTCAACCATATAGCTCCAGGCTGCTTTTACTAATGCATTACACTTTTTAGAGCATGACCTAAAAATATTATATTTCTTATTCACAGAGTACACATATTAAGAGTAATAAAGACACAATACAAGCTGACTGAGAAGTACTTCATTTGTACTTTCTTTTCTGATGAATTCAAGAACCAAAACCTCTTAAGAGCCATTGTGCATAGTATTTTGCCTTTTCCCCTGTGAGAATAAAAAGGGATAATGTATAAAAATCTATACATCATAAAAATGTTCTTCCAATCTGTCGGGTTGTTGTGTTTGGTCGTTGATAGTAAAGACTTTGATACAGGAGTCTTGGCCATGACCCCAGATTATTCTTTCATTTGTTTCCAGTCTCCTGGGCTTGACCTGATTCCAAGAAGAATGGTGTCACTATTAGAGGCTTTCCAACCTCCTTCCGGGGAGCAGGCTGCTATTGATTGAAGGTGCCTCCAGGCTGAAAGTCTTAGATAAAATAGCTCTTCTGTCCACACACAGAAGCAAGCACATGAGCATGTGTGTGCATGTGTACGTGTAGGAAAGAGGGGTTCTAAGAGTTTTCTAGGAAATTTTCATAGAAAATAAAACTGTTGTTTTTTATTGCACTATATATATAGTTACATCACCTGTAACCATCGGGAGAAGGAAAAATGGAACCTCCTTGTACTGGCTTTGCAACTTCATGTGAATCTATAATTATTTCTAAATAAAAGTTAATCAATAAATAAGTACTTTTAAAATGCACTCACATTCAAACCTCTTTCATTCATTTAAATCATTTATTTTATGTATGACCAAATAAGAGACCCCTATGCCTCCCAATACAGGCAGAGAAAATGCATTCCCATATTCTAATTCTACGCTAAAAAAATAAAACACTTCAAAGGGTAGGGTCAGATATTTCAACTACTTTTATCATTTTTACTTAACTATAAAACCTGAAAACAAATACTACCACTAATGTAAAAATGACCTGACCATCTTTTTTAAGAGTTCTTGATTCAGATGGAAAGTTCTTAATGATACACCATTTTTTCTTTTGAAAGAATTTGAAGAACTTAATATAGCCTGCACTAAATTGTTTACTTAGAAAGTATTTTGTCTCTCCACTTCAACATGTCTCAAAAGATCTCTTAAAAGTTAAGAAAGTGCTAGTTTATTTATTTCAAAGTGTATGTATTTTTTTAAATTTCCATAGATTTCAGGACTTCTAATTTCTCATTAGAACCAAAAGTCACAGTTCTCAACTTTCTTTTTGAAGGCACAGGAATTAGAAGGTCTCATGAGATACATTGATTTCCTCCTCTCCCTTTTCCCCTGTTATGGTGTTGTATGCTATTTTAGAGACGATATCACAAGTTGCTGTTTTATTTTATATGCATATTATATATATGTTATGTATAATGTATTAGTACATTTTATAAAATATATCTGTATGTACAGTACATGTTTTAACATATGCATCCTTGCAATGATCATCAGCTGTTACGGGGATTTGGTTTGTTTGATTGTTGTTTTGTTTTGAGATGGAGTTGTTCTCTTGTTGGCCTGGCTGGAGTGCAATTGTGATCACGGCTGTGGTTTAGAGGTGAATCGCAGAGTAGGGAGTTGCTAACTGAATTCTACACTGGCTGCTAAAAGCATACCACTGAGTGCATTGACATACACTTGCTCTTCTCATCACCCTGTTTAGTTGTAGTGGAAAAACCAGGTTCATCAGAATTTTAATATGTAATGCTTCCCTCTAAACATATTTGGAAAAAAATATTAATTTTATTGAGATAAATGTCATCAAATTTTAAGTTTTTATTAATTATTAATGTTTCTCAGTCTTCAAGTGTGTAGTTCTCAAAGTTAAAAGCTAATGTGGTGTGTAATGTGAGAAGCCCCTGTGGTCAGAGCAAGAGGAGCAGGCTGGGCACACAGTTAAATATTCAAGATCTTTGTACACAGCCCCTCCTACTGCTTCTCTTGCCTTCCAGCCTTTGAAGTGGATTCTTCAATCCCCTCACTTCCTCTGTCTCTGCCCTTCCTGCCCCTGGTTTAGTGATTCAACCCACATTCACTGCATCTCAACCTTGCTTCCTGTTTCTGCCTCTGCTTTAGGCCATGCCCTCACTGCTAACCTTCTGATTAGTCCAGGTAATCCACAAGCCCCCTGCTGTTGCCCCCATTAACTTCTGGTCTTCCTGACCCTCACCTGCCAGCAGGGTTCACCCTCACCAGAAGGATTTCCCAAGAGGGGCTGGACTCCCTTCTTGATGTCTGAGATATGCTAAATAAGAGGCTTAAGTTATATTAAGGAAAAAGAAGCCCTTATGTTTCCATATGCTGATTCCAATCTCTCTTTACTGACTCTTAAAATATTTTCTGGGGCTGGTGTGGTGGCTCACATGTGTAATCCCAGTACTTTGGGAGGCCAAGGTGGGAGGATCACCCCACGTCAGTAGTTCATGACTAGCTTGGCCAATATGGTGAAACCCCGTCTCTACTAAAAATAGAAAAATTAGCCAGGTGTGGTGGTGCACACCTGTAATTCCAGCTACTCAGGAGGCTGAGGTGGGAGAATCGCTTGAACCAGGGAGGCAGAGGTTTCATTGAGCTGAGATCATGCCACTGCAGTGAGCTGAGATAACGCCTGGGCAACAGAACCAGACTCCATCTCAAAAAAAGAAAAGAATTTCTTGAGAAATGCCAAGAATTCACTTTTCTATAATATTTCTAATACTTTCTGCAGTTATCATACTAGCAGTACTTGAGATAGTCTTCCTGAAAATGTATTTGCTAATTTATGTTTCCAGCCCCAAGCAAATCCACGGAAAAGAAGCGTGTCTAGATAACAATGTGGGTGAGTGCTAGAGACTGAATGTGTCTGCCCCGAATTCATATATGGAAATCATTACCCCCAATACAATTGTATTAGGGGGTGAGGCCTTTGGTTGATGATTAAGTCATTCATGAGAGTGGAGCCCTCATGAAAGGGATTAGTACCCTTACAAAAGAGACCAGGACCGGGCGTCGGTGGCTCATGCCTATAATGCCAGCGCTTTGGGAGGCCAAGGTGGGCAGATCACTTGAGGCCAGGAGCTTGCGAACAGCCTGAGCAACACGGTGAAATCCCACCTCTACTAAAAATACAAAAATTAGCTGGACATGGTGGCATGTGCCTGTGGTCCCAACTACTTGACTGGCTGAGGTGGGAGAATGGCTTGAGCCCAGGAGCTAGAGGTTGCAGTGAGTCAAGATCAAGCCATTGTGCTCCAGCCCGGATGACAGAGCAAGACCCTGCCTCGAAAAAAAATACACAAATAAAAATTTTAAAATGATAAAAATAAAATAAAACAGACCTCACCATTTCTACCATGTGAGGAGACAGAAGACAGCCATCTGTGAACCAAGAAGGCTATTACCTGACATGAAATCTGCTGGCACCTCAGTCTTGCACTCCCTAGTCTCCAGAACTGTCAGCAACGCGTTTCTGTCATCTACATGCCATCCGGCCTATGGTATTCTGCTACAGATGCTCAAACAGGCTAAGACAGAGATCAAGGGGAAGGAGGAAACCAAACCAGAGCAAAGAACCTCTGATCACACTCTTTGGAACTTCCTGACATCAGGATATTCCCATTTCTGGGAGTAAAGGCCTTAGTGCTAACTAAATTGACCCATATTCTACTATGCTAAGAGGAAGTTCTACTTCCCCAGGGTTGGTCTTTTCCAACGGGGTAGGGCAGTGGGATGTATAAAGTCAAAGCTTTTTAACAAGTTTGTAACCTGCAGAACCCACAAGAACCACAGATTCTTTAATTTACCTTAGGCTTCTTAGTTCAAACCTACAGGAGTGCACCTTGGTTCGCGTATATTAAAGCAGTACTTCTTGTCTACAAGAAAGAAAAAAGAGGAGGCTTAAAAATAGGCATAACTAGGACAAGTTACTCAGTGAAAACTGCTTTTAAATTAAAAAAAAAAATCCTAAGCAAAATTTCCCTCAGGGATGTGTCTGTCTCTGCTCTTTGTGGTATCTATAACCTTACTGAGAATTGGCTGTCCATTACAGTGGCAGTCTTAAACTTAGGAACAAATTGATTCCTAAATGTTTCTTCAATAAAATTTTATTAAAGTAATGTTATAATTGATGCTAACTTCTGACATTAATGCATAAATTTTATTATTTCATAACGTAGAAGAAAGACTGTCAAACTCAACCAGTTTAAACATTTTGTAAAGGAGTGGCCCAGCTGAGACCAAAGTTTTCACTTGTTCTTTTATCCATCCATCCCTTCATACATTCAATGTTTATTAGATGAAACTGATTTAGTTCCTATTCAAGGGGTGTGTGGAATAAACAAAGAGAAAAGGCATGCCATTTAAAATAGGGTGTGAAAAAGGAAACTTGGACAGAGAAATTGTAAGTTACCCAACGACACACAGCTAGTGAGGTAGTATGGAAAGGATTCAAACTCAAACAAATAGATTCCAGAGTTCCTGTTGTTAATCATTATGAATACATGCACTTCGACTTGATAAAACTCTGTGCACCGTTCTATATTTGTGTCTCTTGTTAATTTACTTCCATACCACCTAAAACATTTTAGTCTTCTTGTTAAACCAAATCCACATAATCCATCCACTAATACAGAGCCACTAACTAAAACTGGCACATTAATTATTTTCTTGCAGATGGTATGATTTTTAAACAGTTGATATAGTCAAGAGTGTATGGGTCTCTAATTGAGTGCATAAGTCTAAACAAAGATGCAGGATCACAGGGGAACAGTGAAACATTCAGAAAGAGCAGATTTAGTGACTTTTGTGCTGGAGTGTGGAAGCAAAAGAAAAATGTCCTTGTCCGAGGAAGTAAAGTTGAACAAAACTCTCCCAATAGAGGACACAGCTTGATCAAGTGTAAGACATTCTTGGTCCTCAACGTCTAGCTTCAAGAACACAGAAATGAGCCACCCAGAATAGCTACAGGGACCAAGAGAAACCAGTGTCAGAGCACGACCAGGAGAACATTGATGGAGAATATCATGCCAAGATTATTAATGAGCATGTCATATGAGCCAGGAACTACACCTTGCTGAACTCAAGGTACATTATATCCATTTTTCTCCTCAATCTAGCACCCTGCCATTCTGTTATAAAAGGAGATTAAATCAGTCTAGACCTGTTTGTAACAATGCCAGTGACCTGTTCTGTAGATGTCTTCAAATTATTTCTGAATGTCTTATTACAGTGACTTTTCAGTCTAGAAATTTTTAGCCAGTAATTTTTTGGGTTCTCTTTCCTGTGCTTGACGAAAAAAGAGGGGAAGCATTATAGTATCTTTTTGGCATAAGGCATCAAACTAAGAATTCTTAAAAATGGCCGCTATTAGTCTTGTGATGACATCCAACAATCCTTAGAGTTCCTTGATGGCAAGTCATCAGGGACTGAAGATAGGAGAGACTGTGCTTATCTAAATAATGCACCATCTGTTCTTATCTAAGCTGACATGGTTTCTTGCCCCCT